TATATATATATATATATATATATATATATATACTGTTTTTTGTGCGCCCCGGTACCAAATGACCCACAGACCGGTACCGGTCTGCGGCCCGGTGGTTGGGGACCGCTGATCCAAACTACTCTATTGTAGCTATAGCTGTTCGTCAGGACCACAGTCCTCTGATCTGTTGACCTACAAACAGGACAGAGCCTGTGACATGATTTATTTCCAGTTTTGCTCAATTTTATTACATTTATCTTTACTGGAAACACTATCAAGCATTTCTGTACCTATGGAGAAAGAGCATTCCTTGTACATGATGGTGCTATCACCATCTTTTGCAGTAGGTATAGTGTTTTAAGAGTGATGTGTAATGTCGGATGAGACCAAAGTTTAACTTTGTAACTCACAAATAAAATCATATAAATATTTGTAGTAATATAAATAATTGTTTCCTGCCTTAAAAAGGGTACTCCTGGTCTTAGAGGAATTCCTGGGATTCCTGGTCAACCAGGACTGAAGGTAAATCAGTATTTTGTTAGTATACCTAATCAGTGATTTGGTGGAAAAGTAAAGTCAGATTTATGTGCTTATTTCTCCAGGGGACACGCGGAGCTGATGGATACAAGGGTGAGCCAGGAAGACCAGGTGTTTCGGTAAGAAAAGTATTTTTTTTTTTCTACGGCATAAGTGATTTGAAATGAGACACATCATGTAAAATGTACTTTTTGCTCCCAAATACATTTTTATGTACTAGGAGTCTCTAGGAGGGCTGAAAATTTTAATTTAGCCTTGCAAGGAGCTGTGTAGATAGCTCTATATTCTGTTTGGGCCAAACATTTTCCTCTCTTTAGATCTCCATGTGACACCAGTGGGTCAGGAAGTAACGGTTTGTTATATAACCAGTGGGCAGTGGTTTGAGACCCATCTTAGTTGTGTTTCTGGGCAAGACTCTTTACCTGCCCATTGTTTGAAATGGAGAATGATTGGGAGTATTGTGCAGTGGGTAGCACTGCTGCCTTGCATCAAGAAGGTTCCGGGTTTGATTGCCGACCCGGAGTCTTCCTGCATGGAGTTTGCTTGTTCTCCCTGAGCATGTGTGGATTCTCTCCGGGTACTCTGGCTTCCTCCCAAAGTCTGAAAACATGACTGTTAGGTTAATTGGCTTCTCTACAGTCCCCTTAGATGTGAGTGTGTGGAGTGAATGCGTGTTTGTCCTGTTTGTCTATGTGTTGCCCTGTGGTGGACTGGCAACCTGCCCAGGGTGTACCCTGCCTCTTGCCCAATGATTGCTGGAGATAGGCACCAGCACCCCTTGTGACCCCACTTGGGATAAGTGTGTTAGAAGATGGATGGATAGATGGAAGTATTGTAAAAAGGTAAAGTGTTACTGCATTGAAATTTGATCCTCTCAGACAAACATCAGAAGGAGATTAAAAGGGGTGTCAGTGGAGCTGGAATAATGAGGACTTTAGAGATTCAGTATACAATGTATTGAGCAAAGCTGAAAAATTTAGATGTAAAACAGAACAGATTCAAAAATATAGTGTCTCCTTTAACAGAATGATTATTATACTCTCTGACTTCTTTGGTGTTTTTACTGTAAGTATGTTTTTTTCTTTTGCTCAGGGTGAGAGGGGTTTGCCTGGATTACCTGGACTGCCTGGACAGCAAGGAGAGAAGGTAAAAAAATGTATGCATATCAACTTTGACCATTTTTAGTTAAATAAATACTGGGATAACATTAGTGGAGTAGGATGCAGGCTATTTTGCAGCTGAAGAGCTGCTGGTGTGAACCCCAACTCAAACTGTTTGTTGTCCTGCAGAACTACTGGCTCATCTCAAACCTTTCCTTCATCAGATATTATCGAAAAAGTTGTGTTTCAACACTTAAATACCTTCTTAACAATGCCCATATGATTTGAGGTCTTATATTCAGGTTTCCATGCCAACCACGGAACAGAGAGTGCCCTAATTGAGGGGTTCAATGACATTTGACACTGTTCAGCATTTGATTTTATTAGAGTGTCTGGAAAACTGGGTTATATTTTGTGGAACAGCACTTGATTGGTTTAAATCCTACTTGAAGGACATGGATTTTTATGTATCAGTAAGGAACTTTAAATTAGAAACTAGTAAAATCAAAGGTGGAGTTCATCAAGGCTCTATTTTAGGGCCCCTCTTATTCTATATCTACATGCTCCTTTTAGCTCAGATTATAGCAAACAAAACGTACAGTTACCATAACAATGCAGACAACACACAGCTTTACATCACAATGTCACCAGGTGACTATAACCCATCAGTGTTGGCCAGAAGCAGAGAACAGATTAATACCTGGATCTACCATCATGTTCTCCAACTGACTAAAAAGGTACTGAAAGCTGTATCCCTTAGATTAATTTCTACATCTTGCAATGAAGAAAATTCTTGCTGACAGACTGACTTTCTTTACATGACATACCCTGTATTATCTATGGTAAAATATCTGAAGAGGCTGATAACGTATGGCCGGTTAGGCTTTCACTAAAAGATGATTGTTTTAGGATCAGTATAATCTTTTCTAAAATTAGAACAAACCTTAAATATCTAAAATAACAATTATCTTTCTAAAAAGATTAGAAGCAACTATATCTTTCTATGTCAGCTTCAGGAATGGTAAACACAAGGTGTTTTATCATGCCTGGGGCTTGTGTAACAGGACGGGTCTCCTTTACTTATTTTGTGCTGTCATTATGTTACATAATGGAATAGAAGGGCCTGGAGATAAAAATTTACGCAAATCCGGAGAGAGAAAAGGGTCCAAACATGGTCTGATGCAGTTGTAATAATATATGTACAGGCTTTACAAACTAACTTTTCTATTTCCACCACAGCCGCTCAGAGAGATTTTTTTTAGATTTTACCTCTTTGTGATTTTTTGGTATGGTGATTTTTCTCCCTGTGCCACAAATGTCTAAGGTTCTGAAACAGACAGCGGAAGGGTGATGGTTGCTCTGACTGTTTGTGCTGTGATGAAAATGTAAACAGAATAGCACCTATTGCAGGAAAAAAAAAGGAATAGATAATAATATATAATCTAATAGAATAAAATGTAGTTATGTGTCATCTTGATCAGAATGAGTTTTTTCTAAAAGAAAATCTAAAAGATTTAGATTTTTCTTTACTATATATATATATATATATATATATATATTTATATATATCTATATATATATATATCTATATATACCCTATGAAAGATGAAAAAAAACAGAGAAAAAAGAACTCATTAAGGATATGAAATGAAGTGATCTTTATTTACAGACTATTACATCTATTGGATGTGGTTTGGAATATAAATAAAGCTATAAGTTTACTAACTAAAGGGGTACATTTTCAGAATTACTTAATTACTAAGGATTTGAGAGGCATCTTTTCCCGAGGAGATGGAATAATCCTTTATGGCACATTTAACACAAAGAATGTTTTAAAGAGATTGAAACCTAAACATAATTAATAGATTTAAATGTAGGATGATGGAAAAAAAAAAAAAAACATATTTTCTATCAAAATTAGGACTGAGACATAAAAGGTGATTAGGATTTTTCTTTAGGGCATTAGGAAAATCCCAAAGACCCCCCACAGGCATTAGTTGGAGGGAGGACAGCTTGAAGTTTTACCTTGAAGGACCTTGGAGGCATTGTCGGCAGGAAGGTAATAATCTTGGGACCACAAGAGGACAGATCCAGAGTTAGCACAGCTTCAGCGAGTGAATGAAATGTGATATCTGGAAGGGATCATATCTATGACTGAATTGTATGTTTTTGGAAGCTGGAATCTGAATCCACCAATTCTGTTTAAAGTTGTTTTTTTTCTCTCTTAACATTGATGGCTTCCTTCACAACCCTCTCAAACCACCTATTTTCTTTATCCAGAATGTGAACATTCTGGTCCTCAAAAGAATGTTCACATGTTCACAGTGAACATTATAAATAAAAGTGAGAATAAAAAAAATAAAAAACATACATAGATATGAAAAGAAATTTTGAATGCTGTGGTAAAAGGAACAGCTCCAAAAGTTCCGGCTTCATTCAAAGAGCAGTAAATCTCATCTCCAGTCGAAAGTGCAAAAACACATTTACCTGTCAAGGTTTTTATGAGATCAAACGTTTGACTTTCTGGAAAATCCTGCAACATACATTAGTCCGGATTTGAAAATGGTTGCATTAATCACTGGAAACCATATGTTTAAAATATATAGCAACAAGAGACAGATTTTTTTTGTTTGTTTACTCTGCTGAAAATACATCATTGTCTCTAGTAAGCTACTTAAAATTTTACATATATTTGCTGATATATTTTCCCTTTCTTAGAGAGACACAAGAAGAATTTTACTTAAAATAAAATACAATTTTTTGTTGTCTTGATATTGTCTGGTACAGATTTTCATATTTTAAAGATTTTTTTTTTTTTTTTGTAGCTGAGATGAAAGGATGTTAAAAAAAGGTTGAAACAGTCAGCAACACATTCAGTTTGTTACTGGGGACTATAAAAGGAAGTTATTGTCAACCTTTGTTTATTGGTTTGTAAAGTCGTTAGGGTGTCTTGTGTTCAAACTCATGTGGGTCATGGGACTGACTAACAAAACCCTTTTACTTTATTCATTTCCAGTTTTCAGTTGCATAATTTGTAGGCTTTACCATTTTATCTTTATTGTCATAATTTCTGTTAGTTTACTAACAAAATTATAATGTTATAAGAACCACTGTAAAACAAGCACTTAAACTTGAGTCAGAAGCAGTGAAATACAAGCAGTTCCTTATAAGTCTTCTATATATTTGTGTAGATGGACAGTTCTTAGCTAAAAAATAAATTCAGTTTTGTTAAAGCAGTTTTGTTAAGTGGTTCCTAATAAATGATTTCAAAATGTTTGACTTACATGCAGGACCAAGCTTCAGTGCTTTTGGATCATCCACCAGTAAAACTAGCAAATTGGCAATCAACTTTTAAACAAGTTTTTATAGGAGACAAATAAAAACAAATATTTGAACAAGAAATCAGGTTTTCCACTTGAATGAGTCCAATTGTTTTTGCCCCTAGGATATACTCTTTATCCAGGGTAGAATACTAATAATTAAAAATACAAAATGACAATAAAGTTCGTCTGAGTCTAAGAAGCAATCTGTTCTCAAACTTTTCCATTTCAATCAGCAAGGAGTCATTAAAGGTCCCTGTCTTGGAAAGCTAAAGTGTCTCAAAGGTTCAGGAAAGCTTAGCTTAAATCTGTAGCTGCATGGTCTAGCAGGGAGGTAAGAGGTGTCCTTACAGATGCTCCATCATTCATCATTCTCATTCAGATTCACCTTGGATGACATTGTGATGTATTTTGCAGAGGGCTTGTGTAGAGAGATGTTCAAAACAATCACGGCCTATGTTGTGTCATATATATATATATATATATATATATATATATATATATATATATATATATATATATATATTGTACATATGTGTATACTCTAAGACATTAGAAATCACATTGTTATGAGTTTAAATATGACTTAACAGATGGATTTACTGAGATGGCCAAAGGGCTATCAAATTATTTTAGTAATCTTTAACAGCTTATTGAAAAACTGCCTGAGTAGTTTCCACACATATAACAGTTACATCTCTGTGCTAAACTGCAATCTTTCTTTTTAAATCTTTTGGCCTTTCTTTCAGGGGTCAATGGGATTACCAGGGACCACAGGGTTACCTGGTATGCCTGGTCATTTGGTAAGAATATAGAATTTTCTTAATAACTTAAACAGCTTGGACTCTAAACAAGGGATGCAACATTTTCTTCTTTAACTGGAGGTTGTTATCTTCAGGGGGGGAAAGGAAGTATAGGACCTCCCGGACCACCTGGTTTCCCTGGAACGCCTGTAAAGTATATGTCTAAATTCATGTTGCTAGTATAGTAAGACACTAGCCAGACTAATTTTCTTTCATTTCAGGGTTTCCCTGGGAGAGATGGAAAAGATGGAATTCATGGAATTCCCGGTCAAAAGGTTTGGAAGAGCTGATAGTTGAATATGTTTCATGTTGCAAATGTCATTTAGAGATAAGGGAAGTAGCAAAGGCATGTGGTTGGAGAACTGTGTACTTCCTGTTGCCAAAGAAAGACATATAGGTTTTAGGTCCTAAAACCAAATTAAAAGGAAACTTATGTTGCTGTTCAGTTCAAACAGGGACATCTATTATCAATATTAATTCAGTTGTTTGTTAGTTTAAATTTTTTACATAGATTGGGTGGATTGCAAATCATTTAGGAATACAATAAGGCTGCCTGACCTGAGTCTGATATTGTTTTTCTGCTGTATCAGGGTGAAGTTGGAGCCATTGGTAATCCTGGTTTTGACGGGAGGCAAGGTCATCCTGTGAGTAGACATGTAAACTGTATACAGTGCCTTACAAAAGGTACATAGAACACTTAAAGTATTCCCGTGTTGTCTGTTTACAACCATAAGCGTTTATGTGTTTAACTTTGATGTTATTAGATACACTAATGTGTATTTGCGCGTTATTATTAAGGCTGAAATCAAAGGCTAATAGTAACTAGTTGAATTTCCTCAGTAGCCCATAAGTAGCCTTTTTGGCAGATACTCCCTTGCTTTTAATTCATTAGTTTTATTGGATGGCTAGTTTTTACTCTTACTTGAGTAAAAACATGATGAAGTAGTGTTACTCTTACTAAAGAACAATTTTTGGCTACTCTACCAACCTCTGATCATAGAAATAGACAAGCTGTGACATTCCCTCCCAAATAACAGTAGTCCTATATATACAGTCAGAGCTCAATATGAGTCACAGTCTAATTTAAATTAAACTGAGACTCAATGCCAGGACCCTAGTATATTTCACAGTGTTAAATGTATAGTGTCAACAACTGGAGTAAGATATACTCTATGTAGAGAGTTAATTGAACACTAATTTCAAGTGGGACCAAATGCACTCTGTGTGTGTCACTTTAACACTGCAAAATTGTGTATGTTCAAATGTATTTACACCCAGTCTGACTAACCTTCAACCCCTTTGCTAAGAAAAGCCAATATTTTCTGTATTTTCATGTACAGATCTCAAACATTTTTACAGAAAGAACATCAAAGACAATCTCTTCTTCTCCTCCCATGCCGCAGCAATGCACTGTAGATTCACAAATCACAAACAGCTGCAGGCATAAAGTAGTATATTGAGTTAAGACTTTACTGTGTTAACTATAATCGCCAAAATAGTAGCACTGACAGCCAGTAAATTAGTCTTGTCTCCCAAGAAGGTCCTCCCAGGATAACCCTTATGTAACTAGCCAGCTAATATCTCAAAGAGTGAAAAAAGCTGATTGAGGGACTCTGAATTCTGGTCAAGGAACAAACTGTTCCAGCTGAGGAGCCATCACAATGATAATGATCATTGGAATGTTTAACAATTTGGGACAGGTTTACAAACTATAAGTCAATAGCTCTTGAAATCTTAAACCAATTTGTACCTGATGAGAACTAGAGAGGTCTTTCATCTAAAAAGGAAGAAACTACGCTACATTTCTTCAAGTTTAAACAGCATGTAGCACTATGATAATGGCCCCTTTATTCTACAGCAAATAAGCTACAACAGCATTAACTAGTGTTGTTAAATTAAAAGTTTAAAGCAGTCTTACCCCACTTCATTTTTCAGTTTGCTCTGCTACCCTTATTATTTCAAAGACAACCATCAACCCCATTTTTTAATCAGAAATATAAATTATATTTATGGTAGATATTCTTTAAAAAAATTCTTTACACCTTATTTTCACATATATGCTTGTAATAAACTTAGCCAACTCTTCAGTACTAAGGAAATTGTTTTTATTCCACTAGAATTAATTTTCTCTCAAATCTACTAAATTTTAGACTAAATTGTAGACTACATTTGCTTTTTAAGTTCAACCAGATTTCCAATACCCTCATTCAACGTAGTGGTTGTGCTGGGGATGCTGCAACACCCCCTAGTGGCGAGAGCCCCTCAGGGTCTTTTGTCTTTCTTGCAGTTCTGTTGATAATCTTGTCAAATTTTTGCATGACTTTCCAACTTTTAACTGTGTGTGCTAAATGAAAAATAAAAAAGAGCTTTTTATAGAAATTCCTTTATGCACTGATTTTGTTAAATTGACTAAACTTACACTTCTTTGCTAAGTCCATGTAAGGAAACGCCTTGGCCAAAACAGAATCCCAGTCTGATACCTACTTTGTCCACATAAAAAGATAGTTGTTTTACAAGCATATAACTGATCATGTAATTAGGTAGATCATAACCCTAAAATTGGTATATTATAAACATTCTACAAATGTAAGAATAGAAGGAGAAAATATTTTTTACCACGTTTTTTGCAGATAAAACTTGACAAAACAAACTGCTATGTCTCATCTTTTTTTTTTTTTGTCATTCTAAAAAAGAAACTGATCTATAGTACTTGTTTCCAGGGTGTTCCTGGTTTGCCAGGAAATGTAGGCTTGAAAGGAGAAAAGGTAAAAATTGGCTGATGTGTAAAACAATAATTTCCTATTTGTTTTAATAGAGTAGTAATCATCTTTGACTAGAATTATCGTTTTTATTCAAGGGGGAAACTGGTGAGCCTGGATCAAAGGGCATCAAAGGATCAGATGGCCTACATGTAAGAGTCAAATTGTATTAACACCTTTAATGTTTTGCTTGGTGTACGTCATTAAAAAAAAAGACTGCTTTTGCAGGGGGAAATTGGCTTGCCTGGTGAACCTGGTATGAGGGGACCAATAGGACCCAAGGTAAATCCTTTAAATGCGAAAGAGGTTATTATTTGACTTTTCTGAAGCTGTAAACAAAATAACTGATTTAAAATTCAAGAGATTAACTTTTACATGAAATCAAAAGAAAACCTGAAAAGGCATTTTTTGAAGATAATGTGCAATGTCATTGTCAATTTTTACAGAGTGGTGTTAATTCACATGTTTCTATTTTTGCTCTATAAGTGTAAGAATTGTTATTTCATAAGAGAACCTAACCCTATGCAGTTAGATCATATTAATCACTGCAGAATTGTCCTCGATCTTTATCATGGATCAAAGTGTTTTCCTTGCTTCCCTTTGTGACACTAAGCCAGTGGATTACAACAAGATATCATCGGAACAAATAAAAAAAAAAAAAACAAGTTCAACTGAGCTTTAAAGCTTTCTTTCTATCAATCAGGTACTTTTATGTTTTTATAATTTGGTAAGTTTGGATTTTTTCCCCCAGAAATGTCAATCTTTGTAAATGCAAGACAGCATGTGTCTCCAAGATGTTAATCATGTTATGCAAAAGAAGCCAGATAAGAAATTCACCTCCTTAGAGCCGTCATTGTTGTCTACTAATTCCAAAAGCATGGAGTGATATTAAGCACTTGGCCCTCACAAAGTCTATGACTTCATCTTACTATAGTGATTCTATTGTAAGTCATTTCAAAGCAATGCAAAATCACAGAAACAGTAGAACATTTTATTCAGGGTGTTTTTTTTTTATGTTTCAGCTTGTTAAATATAAACTAGTGACTATTCACATCAACCCAGACTCCTAAATTGCCACTATAAACAATATAGGGGAGAAAGTAAAAAAAAGAATATGTTTTTTTTTGTTGCTTGTAAAGGTTGTTCAAAACCAAACTATAACACAGTACAGAGCAGCACATTGTGTGGTTACATAATATTCTAAATGCTGTCGTCACCCAAAAACATTTCATTTTAATTTTCTATTACTTTGGACATGTCTAGTGCTTTGCAGAGAGCTAGAATGAAAAACTATGGAAAATTGTGTAGTTTGGCAGGAGGATATGTTTTGCTTGGTCAGTGCTTAACTAAAATAAACTGTAACAAAATCATTTAGTAGAGCAAAACTGATATCTGGACCTATTTCAGTCTCCGTGGCTATTTCTGTTTAAATGCAAGAAAACTGAGCTGTTCTTAAGTTGATGCTGTGTTTTCTAATTATTTATGGTTGACCCTGAAGTAGCTTAGCTACGGACAAAAAAGTAAAGCCTTACACATTTAAACCTTGTCCTGTAGCCAGTGGGTTGCCTTCTCGAGCCCTTACTCCGTCTGTCTCAGTTTCTGCACCCTTGAGGAAGACACTTCACACACCTTGCCTGCTATTTGTGTTTAGAGTGGCACAGATTATATGGCAGCTTTGCTTCTGTCAGTCAGCCCTAGGGTAACCATGACTACAGAACCATCAACAGAACATGAATGTGTTCATGAATGGAAGAATGACTTAATGTAGTGCTGTGGGGTGTTTGGACAATTAGAAGCCATTTACCATTTAAAAACATTAATGAACCTAATTTATGATGAAGGTAGAAATAGCAAATATTTATGAGCAACGTGTTGCATGTAACATTAAGAATTCCTGTAAAATGATTAATCTCTTGTTTAACAAACAAGGGCATCAAGGGTGACAGGGGAAATCAAGGAATAAGAGGATCACCCGGGCTTATGGTGAGTTACTTTAAAAAACATTGCTTTTCTTTTTACATTTTCTTTTTCTTATTTAACATGAAAAAAATGTATGTTTAAAGTTATTGACTATTACATCAATTAGGGATGTCCTGAATCAATATTAATATCCGATATCGATCCGATAAAACTAATATTAGATTTTATTTGCCAGCATCTACAATCTCTGATATTTTCATGCTAATAGAAACACTCTACCTCTGTATAAAGTTTCCTTTCATTGGTTCATCTTATATGGGTCATTTGTTTTCATACTTTTTTTGTTGACTTTTATTGCCTATTTTTGTAATATTACTTGATCAAGCATTTTCTAACATTCTACGTTATAAAATATGTAATAAAACCTGGTGTTAATTATACATGTCATGTCGGGTCAAAGCCAGTATCTGCTAATTCTTAAAGCTGCAATAGTGGTATCGTATCGGAAATGAAAAAGTTGTATCGGGACACCCTTAATATCAATACAAACAGTTATTTCATTATCTCTGCTTCAAATTGGTTTCTCAATTAAATATTTTAAGGGCAATGCAGGAGAACCAGGTTCACCAGGTCTGCCAGGACACCCAGGCATGCCAGGCCAGAGGGGAAGCAAGGTACCTACTCCATCCATCCATCCATCCATCCATCCATCCATCCATCCATCCATCCATCCATCCATCCATCCATCCATCCATCCATCCA